TACAACAAAAATGAGCCTATTCCCGTCGGGTTTTCTTTTTTTTTGTTTTCCTTTTTTTTTCCTTTTCCTTTTCCTCGCTTTTTTCATTAGAACGAAGCGACTTTTTGTGTTTTTCAGCCAAAAGAAAACTCAGCTCTTTTTTCCATCAAATTCATTGCAATAGCTTCATTGCTTCAAATGGCTTCATTGCAAAGAGCGTAAATTGGATCCCTTGTCGGATTCTGTTCTTTTCATGAGTCTAATTTTGTTATTTTATATGCATACTTTGTATTTAAAAACATAAGCGTTCGTTCCGGTGCACTTAAATTTCACATTTTTCCGCCAAAACACGCCAAAAAAACGTCATTTTCTCATCGTTTATTTGAGAAAAGATGAATTCATTGCGCCAGAAAGAGTATTTTTCGTTTAGTAAAGCAAAAAGTGCACTACAAAGAGCAATTTGTAAAACTTTAATCTGTACTTATTCTGTAATTTTCCTTATTCTGTAATTTTTCTAAAGTCTAGGATGTTTCTCGTTGATTTGTCAACAATGTAATGGTTGAGATGGTCAATATGCGCTTCGTTATGCCCCCTTAAACTTTATCATTGAATTTTATATTGGGAGTTTTCGAATCAAGCTGTTCAGCTTTTGATGGCTTTGAGGGATTTGATTTGAGGGATTTGAGGTCGAAATTTGAGTTTAAAATACGACAAAAATGAGCCTATTCCCGTCGGGAATAGGTAAAAAAATACCGAAACACTTTTTTTGTCACTTTTTGACTCTTTCATTAATCTTAAAGAGTCAGATTTCGCGTTTTCGTCTTAAAGATTCAGATTTTTGATTACATACCTCAAAAAAAGTTCTAGTTTTTCGATTGAAGTTCTTAAGAGTTTAGCTTAGAATTCAGCTTAGAATTCAGCATTGTTCTTAAAAGTTTAACTTGGAATTTACAGCATTGCAAAGGTCGTAAAGCAATTGAATGAGCAATGGCATGAGCAATTGAATGAGCAATTGAATGGAATCAATTGATGCTATTGTAATCTTTTCATTGTCATTTCTCGATTCTTGGATGACTGATCGTTTCTTTAAAGCTGATTGTTTCTTTAAAACTAATTCTTTTCACTCTACTGAAAGGAGGAGCCGAATTGGGACCGATTCTCGGTAAATCGACTTCAAATCAATCGCTTTAAATCAATCATTCAAGAATTTATCAAGTATTAAAGAATGAAATCAGCTTTTCCGGTTATTTTCAATTCTGAGTCTCTCAACTAGTTTTAGTTATTTATCGTAATATACAGGTACTATTTATCGTAAATATTGATCCAAATTTGAGTCAGAAATCGATTCCAGAAGTTTCACATTCTTTCTCCTTTTCCCTCTATTTATTCTTTTATGAATACAAAAATATATGACGCTGAGAATCCAAAAGATCGTCGTTGCCGGGATTCGAACCCGCGATCTCTCGCTTACCGAGCGAGTGCACTACCAATGAGCTAGACTCACATGTGTTCGGCGGATGGCAGGAGGGGGTCTTATACCTTTCTCAGGAATTTGGACATAATAACGAAAACGGCGAAACTGGTTCAGTCGCTCATCGACTCTTTTCCTTTACGGACTCGAAAAGGGAAGCCTTATATACCGAGGGCGTATGCTAGATCGCTAGCGATTACACGACCGCAGAAAGAACATATCGCTAGTCATTTATAGGGATTCTTCTTTAGCTTTGTAGATGATATAAAAAAGATATTGAGCTGTGATTTTAGAATTTTGGACAGTTGTGACAATTGTGGACAATTGTGGACAATTGTGAAGGACAAAAATGGGGTGCTTGTTTACTTGTTTTATGAAGTAGCGTTTCCGTTTTCAAAAATCCTTTTATCACTTTGTTTCTTTGATCATTTCATTCTCTTCACCTCAAAAAAATCAAATTGAAATCCGTTGAAACTCATAGATCAAAATTTGAAACAGTTTTCTATTTATTTTCGCCTAAATTTTTGACATCTTAGATCGATATTTGATCTGTTCGACTTTCCAAAAGATTTCCAGTTTTTCCTTTTCATTCAACTGTACTCAAGAGCGCTTTTTGGCAATTAGTGATGACAAGTGTTGATTAAAAAGAGAATGAAATCGGCAACTTTTACTTTCTTTTTTTACAAAAAACCATTTTCGATTGAATTGTTCGCGTTTTGAGCCTTTACTTTTTATTTAAACTATTGGGTTGGTGAATTGAAAACTGCGAGACTTTGAACTAAAATTTATTCAACATAAAAGCATCAATTCATTCCAAATAATTTCCATTATTATTGACGATTTCTGCTCATTTTACAGGCAATTTGATTCCTCTTTTGTAGTAGGATTTTGGTTTTGAATCGAAAAACTTTCAAAGCCAATTTTTGACTGCTTCTTCCAAATCGAAGTGTTCTCCCGCAAGCTCGTTACTCATGATCCGGAATAAATAGTAAGCAAAAGGGGCGAGGTCCGGACTGTATGGGGATGCGACAAAAGTTCCCAAACAAGGCTATTTATTTTGGAGCGAGTCAGTTTTGCAACATGAGGGCGCGCGTTGTGATGGAGGAGAGCGATCTTTGACTTGGAGAGCCTATTCTTCTTCAGGAGCTTTAAGGCTTTAGCTGCAAACTATTGGGTTTTATTCTAAAACTAAAATTTATTCAACATAAAACCATGAATTCATTCCAAATAATTTCCATTATTATTGACGACTTCTGCCCATTTTACAGGCAATTTGATTCCTCTTTCGTAGTAAGATTTTGGTTTGTGTGTGAGACAAGTGTGAGACTCAAAAATGGAGGACTGGAGACTGGAGACTGGAGATCCCAGTTTGAGCACTTTCTTCAAAAGAAACCCATTTTGGTGTCAATAGAAAAGTTGTAGAGAATCAAAAATTAGGCTTATAGCCAAATTTCCAAAAAGATACACTTAGTAGTTTCGCTTAAAATGCAAGTTTTGTGAAAATTCGTAATTTTGGTGTAAATTTCGGATTTCTTGGAAACCAGTTTTTGAATCGTTCTGAAAATTTGGATTTAAGCTTGTTTTTTGATTCTCTACAACTTTTCCATTGACACCAAAATGGGTTTCTTTTGAAGAAAGTGCTCAAACTGTCACATATGACATTAGCCCGCAGTTTTCAATTCACCAACCCAATAGTTGAACTTTTAACTAGTAAGTAAAGTAAGTAAGCATTATAAAACAATAAGCTTTATTAGGGCTTTGTCTTTAAATGTACTTTCAAAATTGAAACACATCTTGTCTAGGATTCTAACGGCTTTTACTTGGATTCTATTTGGATTCTTTTTGCATTTCATTTGAATTTCATTTGCATTCTATTTGCATTCTATTTAAAAAATTCAAATCGCATAGTACTTTCATGATAGAAAAATGGGGGAAATTGGTGTGTTTGTAGGAAAAAATACTGATCAAAGCCCAAATTTTGTTTTTCTCTTCAATCCAGCTGATACCCAATAGTTGGGTGTGGCGAATCACATGATTTTGATCAAAAAGCATCAAATTACTTGTTGAAACGTCTGGAACTGGTTTCCTTTTTGTGATTTTCTAAACTTTTCCTAATAGATATTGATTGCTAAATAATATTGTTGTTAATAATATTGTTAAAGTATTGAAAGTTTGCGATTAAAGTTTACGATGAGAGTTTGTGATTAAAGTTTGCGATTAAAGTTGATACGGAAAAGGGAAAAGACTGACTGTAGTGATTATTGTTGATTTAGATATAATCTTTATTACAGCGATAATAGTTGGTTCAGTGGTTTGAGGTTTGGGAGAGTAGAGGGGCACTCCACGGCACACGTCGGCAGCTCGTTCACATTGCTTTTATGCGGAACTCAGGCGTTGGTCTCGTATTGCACACAATGGAGTTACGCATATTAAATCTCGCACAATAGGCGTTCGTCCACATAGGTGTCTAGCTGGCCATTTCCATACGTGGCGATCTCGATCACGAGATCTTCACGACACTGACAGCCTAATTATAAGTGCCAGGAAGTTCGAAGATCCGTCAGGAGATCCGTCAGTCAACAGGAGATCCGACAGTCAACAGGAGATCCGTCAGTCAACAGGAGATCCGTCAGGAGATCCGACAGTCAACAGGAGATCCGTCAGTCAACAGGAGATCCGTCAGGAGATCCGACAGTCAACAGGAGATCCGTCAGGAGATCCGTCAGTGAAAAGGAGATCCGTCAGTCAAAAGGAGATCCGTCAGGAGATCCGACAGTCAACAGGAGATCCGTCAGTCAAAAGGAGATCCGTCAGGAGATCCGACAGTCAACAGGAGATCCGTCAGGAGATCCGTCAGTCAAAAGGAGATCCGTCAGGAGATCCGACAGTCAACAGGAGATCCGTCAGGAGATCCGTCAGTCAAAAGGAGATCCGTCAGGAGATCCGTCAGTCAAAAGGAGATCCGTCAGTCAACAGGAGATCCGTCAGGAGATCCGACAGTCAACAGGAGATCCGTCAGGAGATCCGTCAGTCAAAAGGAGATCCGTCAGGAGATCCGACAGTCAACAGGAGATCCGTCAGAAGATCCGTCAGTCAAAAGGAGATCCGTCAGGAGATCCGACAGTCAACAGGAGATCCGTCAGTCAACAGGAGATCCGTCAGGAGATCCGACAGTCAACAGGAGATCCGTCAGGAGATCCGTCAGTGAAAAGGAGATCCGTCAGTCAAAAGGAGATCCGTCAGGAGATCCGACAGTCAACAGGAGATCCGTCAGTCAAAAGGAGATCCGTCAGGAGATCCGTCAGTCCATGAACCGTGATCATTAATGTTTCCATCTCCGTCAGTCCATGAACCGTGATCATTAATGTTTCCATCTCCATCATATCCGATCCAGGCCTGTTGATCTTTGCATGGATCGGGTGCCAGGGTTTATGATTAAATTTTACTATTTCATTTAAAGTCTACAATTCATTTAAACTCTACAATTCCAACTCTATCCGATTCAACTTTAAAATCAATTTTAAAACCAATCAATTTTAAATGTTTAGTTATGACAGAAGTATTGCGATCTCCAGAGCTGTATCGAAAATTGCTAAAAGAAAAAGGACTCTCCGAGGTGAAAGGTGAATATTTTGATGAAATCCCTCGAATGAAACCTGGGAAATGCAAAGAAGTGGATGAAGATTCGAAAGTGAGTTCAGGAAAAGTTAATTTCATTTTTGAACGGCTTCAGGAATCTGATAAACAATGGTAATCTTTATTTTATTTATTATTAGCAGTCTTCAAGCTTTATTAGCAGTCTTCAATTCATAAAGAACTTAAAAGGGGAGTGAAAAAGAACCGAAAAAGAATATTTAAGACCGAATCTTCTTTGAAAATCGCTAAAGACATCCAAATGTTCTTATCTACCGTATTTTCTCTAATAGTCGCGCACCCAAAGCTTTGCCTAAATCGCTCGAAATCTCGAGAACCGCTTATCAGAACCTATCGATGTGGGGCTGGAAAATGTAGCTGACGATGAGATCTAGTGGGGATTAGAGTGCTGAGCTTCTGTGAAAGCTTAGGAACTGTAAAATAGAATCTTACTCTTTAATATATTAGAATGTATTAGAATATATTAGAATATATTAGAATATATTAATATATCTCTATTAGAATTGTACTCTTTAATAGTATTGTACTCTCAAAAAGGATCGCTAGTTTTCTAGAAAATTCGCTTTAAAATTTCGGGGTCTACGTTTGAAAAAACGAGGCACGCTTCTATAAAAAGACTTCTTTCGTGCAAGCGAAATATGACATCGTGGTCGGTCGGTAGAGTCCTCGCCTCCCACTCGCGTGACCCTGGTTCGGTCCCGGGCGGCGCCATTTCTTCTCCTTTTTTCTTTTTTCCCAAAATCTTAAAGATCGTTCGCTCTATTAGAATTGTACTCCTTAATAGTATTGTACTCTCTAATAGTGTTCCGGTCGGGAGGAGGGTTGAAAGAAAATAGTAGTAGGGACTACTATTAGAGAGAATACAATATTTTTAATTTTCTAATTTTACATATTCTCTTTTTAGATATTTTAAAGATTGTAGAACTTTTAAACGCTAGTCTTTCACCATTTTTCACCAATTTTGATCCATGAATCCAGAGAGCAACCAGAAATATCAATATCGGAAATTTGAATTGCCGTTTTGATGCAATTCTCGAGTTAGATTTTGACATCTTTATTCGATAAAACATACCGCATTTTCTCTAATAGTAGTGCAGCCAGAGCGTCGCCTAAAGTCTGACTAACTTGATAGTGAGTAAGGAAAAAAACTAAACAAAGAGCTTCTTAATTAATCTATTTTCTAAAAGGTGACAGTTTTCGAAAGCTATCGTGGTCTTATCTCTTGTTTTATCCCGAAAGCTATTGTGGTCTTATCTCTTGTTTCATCCTACTTTCTATCATCAGATTCATTCAAAATTTCAACCTACTTACCATATTTTCTCTCTAGTAGTGAGGGCAGCCTAAATTCCTCGAAATCTCGAGAACCGCTTATCAGAACCTATCGATGTGGGGTCGGAAAATGTAGCTGACGATGAGATCTTGCAGGGGATTAGAGTGTTGAGCTTCTGCGAAAGCTTGGAAACTGTAAAATAGTCACCAACTACTATTAGAGAGAATACATTATTCATAATATACTAGGTTAAGTACTAAGTCTCCCACCAAGATTCATTTTCTTATTGAAAAAATCTCAAGCTACCGGTTTTTTTCATTAGCTTAGCTATTAGTTTTCATTCATTTCTCTTCTAAGTTCATTTCTCTTCTTCACTTTTGAAAGTTACTTGAAAGTTAAGTTAAAAAAAGAGATCCCTAAGTAAACAAATAGGTTAAAGGGAACAATGGGAAACGCCGAGTTGTACTTTTTACTTGACATCAAGGAAACAACAAACAACAATGCTTTTGGGAACAATTTTAACGTTTATCAATATTTCATTCAGCTCAAATTTTGCTTTTCACACGTTTCCTTTACTCTTATCTTGTAGAGAAAAAGAATTACCGGAAATGAAATCGTCACCAACTCGAGAACCGCTTATCAGAACCTATCGATGTGGGGTCGGAAAATGTAGCTGACGATGAGATCTAGTGGGGGATTTGAGTGTTGAGCTTCTGTGAAAGCTTGGGAACCGTAAAATCGTCACCAACTCGGCTCGACCGGGGTGCATGGAGGAGGTCGAGAGAATGTTGGGGGAGGGGGCCGAGTTTTCACCATTTTGTAGTCCAATTTTAGATAGATTTTTGTTAACAACTTTTGATGAAACAAATAGTATCTCAAAGTTGACGTTCTAAGCTATCTAGATCTTATTAAAACTTCCTGATCTGACAAGTTTAAGGTGCTTAAAAATGAGTTGCAAGTTGGACAAAAACTAGTCCCCTCCGGTTAAAGGAAACTTTTGGGAACAATTTTAAATGTTTATCAATATTTCATTCAGCTCAAATTTTGCTTTTCACACGTTTCCTTGACTCTTATCTTGTAGAGAAAAAGAATTACCGGAAATGAAAATGAAAATGAATGCTTTCGAAGAGAAACAATTTATTGAATTGATAATTTTATGATATTTCTGTCATCAAGGGTTCTAAACTTTTTTCTTCAAAACATAAAAGAGTTTTTTGTGCAAGGGAAAAGTCCGTAGTGAAAATTGAGACGATCAATTATGATCTGTCTTGTCACTGTCGCCAACAGAACAAGCCGCCATCTCCATTCTTTTTTTGTTGAAACCCCGAAACGAAACCGAAGCCAAACGTTGATAAAGTTCTTCACAAAGCCACTTTCTTCTATAAACAGTTTTCTCCTACTGTAAATAGCTCTTTACGTCTTTTGTACACTTCTTTTGAACAATAAAACTTTTACTCAACCCTCTTTTAGTTAAACTTGAGCCTTTTTTTGGTTTCTACTTTGCGCAAACACACCCTTTTTAAGGGTTGTTCTTTGAACTTCTTTGCAACACTATTGTCACAAGTTTAACTACAATCCTACATCATATTTTCGTAAGTTCATTCTAAAAAATTCTCTGTCTACAGTGTCCCGTAGACAGTAGACATTCTCTGTCTGATTTAGACATGGTTTTAGTGGGATTTTATCAGGTTATCAGGATCAGGTTTTAGTCGGATCAAATCGGATCGGAATAGATCCGAAACAGTGGTCTATCGGATTGGATTCGAAATAGTTGTCTATCGGATTGGATCAGATCCGAAGATTGGTCTATCCGATTGGATCAGATCCGAAGATTGGTCTATCGGATTGGATCAGATCCGAAGTTTGGTCTATTGGATTGGATCAGATCCGAAGATTGGTCTATTGGATTGGATCAGATCCGAAGATTGGTCTATCGGATTGGATCAGATCCGAAGTTTGGTCTATCGGATTGGATCAGATCCGAAACAGTGGTCCATCGGATCAGATTCGAAGCAGTGCTCCATCAGATCAGATCCGAAATAGTTGTCTATTAGATCAGATTCGAAACAGTAGTCCATCGAATTGGATCAGATCCGAAACAATCGTCCATCAAATCAGATCAGATCTGATCCAATCCGAAAACCATGTCTACCCTGATCTATCAATCTGGTAGGACTAGTTGCTTGGCTTTGATTGAAGCTGAACTGAACTCTACAAAATTGATAGATCAAAAGCTCGCAGCTCTAGCTTGTATTCTTGCACTAAAACCAACCCTGTACTAAAGACTAAAGACGTACTAAAGAGAGGTCATCTTTTCGAATGAATTTTTGAATCATCATCTTTCCATCATCGCAAAATGAATCATCTTTTAGAATAGAACCTACGTTCTATTCTAAAAGATGATTCATTCAAGTGTAGTGTTTCACTTTCAACTCAAATTAGCTCTCAAAAGCGTGCTTATTAAAAGAAGATCTTTCAAGAAAACACTTGAAAGATCAAATTCTTTTAACATTTAACACAAAAACTTTAGAATTTCGATTTTTATTCGTTAAAATAAACTTTCCTTGTCTCTATCGCAAGCTAGAAACTTTCTCAATTGGATTAACGATTCGAAAAAACTCAAAATGACAAAATGACTGAGTGCGACATGAGAATTTCTTTCTTTAATGACAAAAGGGTGGTAGTGCGGAGAGGAAATAGATAAAAATGGACAAGAAATAGACGAAAATGGACAAGAAATAGACGAAAATGGACAAGAAATAGACAAAGATATCCCATTATCAATTCTCGATTTGAAAGGGAAATGAGCAAGGACATTTGGAGCTTGGGGACAAGGCGTTCGTGCAATTTCCTTTTTAAGATTTCCTCTTAATGCTTTGCCAAGAAAATTTCCGATTTCCTATAGATTGTTTCCATTTCCTTCGTCATTTTATACCTTTAGCTTATGTAAAGTAATTCTATTTTAAAGATTAAAGATGAAAGATGAAAGATTAAAGACTAAAGATTAAAGATTAAAGACTAAAGATTAAACATGAAGGTTACTCATCTTTAAAAAAAGTCTCAAAATTATTGCAATAACTATTGTTGCTTGTTATTTCTCTCTCATTGCCTTGATTGAAATAATTTTTGTATCAATCGATAGATGAAGAAATGACGAATCTAATGATGCAAAAGCTATTTCAATCGAGCCACTGAACGCCAAGATATTTGAGTTTAAAGTTAGATTGTCAAGCAAAAAGCGAGCTGAAATCAAATGCGAAATAACCTCTGAAATCCCGTTAATTTAAACGCTTTGGATTATTCTATTTAGTCGATATTAGAGGTAAAGATTTACTCTAAAAGACGATTCACTTCTCTCCAAAATACGACCATATCTCAATCTCAGAATGGCTCTATTCAAATCAAACTCTCCGTAGATGGGAAAACGGCTCGAAGAGTCATTGGAAACCAGTTTTTCCCTCGATTCCCCCTTTTTTTTCCTCATTCCTATCAGTTTTCTTTTTCAAAAGCAAGCCTTTTGAAAAAACCTTTCTTTTGAATAAAACCTCTCATTTTGTGCATTGTCTGCTTTCCAGAAAACTTAGAAAATCACAGTTTACCTGTTAACTGTACAAGCTGTACAAAGCTCTTAGCTGTACAAGCTGTACAAAGCTCTTAGCTGTACAAGCTGTACAAAGCTCTTAGCTGTACAAGCTGTACAAAGCTCTTGGCTATACAAGCTGTACAAAGCGCTTTATCTTGAAGCTATTTGTCTGTATAAATTCAAATCTTTATCTTAATTAACTATCTCCTTTTTCCAGAGTCACCAAACGGCTACAATGCTTTTTGGAGATGAGAGCGATGATGAGGATGGATACGCGACTCCTTCAGGTTTAGAATTTTTACTTAAAAACTCGTTACTAAAGTTGATGTTAGTGTTTGACTTGCCACATTGACAATATTTGAGATTAATATTGCAAACTGAGATTTGTTTAAAGTCAATAACAGTGTTATGGATAGATAGTAAACTTCAATTTACTGATAGTAAACTTCAACTTAGAGTCAAAGCCTTTCCTAGCCCTCTCCAGCAGAATACCCTAATCCCACACACACGTTTCTAAAAGTTCCATAGTTTGGGAAGCTTTTGATCAATTCACAGTTTGATTCCTAAATTAGAACATAATTAAAAAAGGGATCCGAATTAAAACCAATTCTAACTTCTTTGTAAATCAAAATAAATCATTTGACAACTGCGAACCTCTCCAAAATAGGCTAATAAGTTTCTGGATTTCCGAGTTCCGGATTTAGATCAATTAAACCCGAGTTCTAATTGATAGACTCAATAAAATGAATAGCGCCAATCGATTCCCCAACTCCGAAAACCCTCGGAAACAAATTCACAGCTGAAGATCTTTTTTGTACCATCTACAAAGCAAAAGAAGAAGAAGAATGTAAATGACTAGCGTTCTTTGTGCGGGCGCGTAATCGCTCTTCATCTAGCAAAACATCCTGGTAGAGAAGGCTTCCCTTTTCCGTAAAGGGAAAGAAGCGGCTGATCCGATTTTGGCGTTATTGGCGCTGTGGCCGTTATTTCCAAATTCTTAGGATCAATTTTTGCCTTAAACTTGGCTGAATTTATGCTCTAAATTCTACATTTTGTTAGATAAAACTAGTTGAGAAACTCAAGGCTGAAACTGATCTGCAAAGCTTTTCTTTTAAACCAAGACTGCCCACTATGAGTTTATCTTGATATCTTTTCTATCCGAATTCATTGGAATTCAAATGTGAACTGAACAGAACGGACGAACAGAACAGATGAACAGAAGGGAGGAACAGAACAGACGAACAGAACAGAGGAGCAGAACAGATGAACAGAACAGATGAACAGAATAGATGAACAGAACAGACGAACAGAACAGATGAACAGAACAGACGAACAGAACAGATGAACAGAACAGATGAACAGAACAGATGAACAGAACAGATGAACAGAACAGACAGGTCAATATTCCCTAAAAATAAAATAAACTCGTGCTAAAGTACTCTAGTTAAGCAGTTTTTTCACAAAAAGTTTCTAAATAATGTAAAAAAACTTGTAACCTCATTGCCAACCCGTCATTTGTTTCCCTCAAATAGTGTTGACCTTGAGATTTTTTCGGATCCTTCCTATCCAGACCATCCCCTAAATCTGTCCCAATTACTGTTCCTTCAAAATTTCAAATTTCCAATTTTCCAACCCTTTTTACAGATGGTTTTCAGCCGTCAATCCATCTGCTAATGCGCTTAACTCTTTTGCTGAAGACAAAAACTAAATAAAGTCTTTGAAAGAATTCCGTCCACTCTTATCTCATTGACCAAATTTCCGCCGACTCATAAATTGCATGAATTTCAAGGTTCTTTTGGTTTTTCTTTTGGTTTTTCTTTTGATTTGTACAGGCTACTGGACTTGTTTTTCTAGAATTTCGAATTTTCGTTTTCAGCTGTTCTTGAAACTTGAAACATTTCGCTTTCAAGTGCTTATCAATTTTCTGTTTGTGCAAGAGCTGACTGGTAAAGCTAGCAAAAAAAAAAGCAAACAATTTCTTGAAGAAAGTTACTATTTCTAGAGTTTTGAAATCTATTTTTTGTTTAAAATGTTGGTAATTTTAACAAGCCTGGTAACAAAGCCATTTATTGATCGTCTCTTTACTTTGTCCCTTGTCTCTTTACAGTAGTAAAGTTATCGAGTAATCAGCTCGAAAGGACTAGAGAACTTTAAAGATCTTAAGACTAGATCTAGAATCCAGTAAGACTAGAATCCAGTGAGACTAGATCCAGTAAGACTAGATCCAGTAAGACTAGAATCCAGTAAGACTAGATCCAGTAAGACTAGATCCAGTAAGACTAGAATCCAGTAAGACTAGAATCCAGTAAGACTAGAATCCAGTAAGACTAGAATCCAGTAAGACTAGAATCCAGTAAGACTAGATCCAGTAAGACTAGAATCCAGTAAGACTAGATCCAGTAAGACTAGAATCCAGTAAGACTAGATCTAGAATCCAGTAAAGAATTTAGTCTTTAATCTTTTCAATCTTTTTATCTTTAGCTGAATCTTTTTATCTTTATCTAAATCTTTTTATCTTTTTCATTTTTTCAATTCATTCCAAAGCTTCTTTAATTATGACTATATAGTCTTTTTTAGTTTAAATGCATTAAAATTAAGTCTTCCGAATGGTTGAGTATTTCAAAATCTATGATTTCAACAGAAAAAACCCTCCCAAAATTCGATAACTTCTTGTGTTTCTCTTGGGCAACCAAAGAAACTAAAAGATAAACAGTTTGCCCGATTCATTTATAGCTAAACGCTAAGCTATAGCTTCATTTATAGCTTCTTTTTAACAATCTAAGCTCACGAAGTTTTCTACATTTGCCATTTGAAGTCCCAGATTTGCTTTTGTAAGCTGACATCCCAGCATTCTTAAGAATTCGATGAACTGAATTTTTTGAAATTCCAATGGCTGCATTTTCCTCGTCGAGTTCTTGTTTGTTCCAGGATTTCTTTTAATTCGGTCCAGCACTGCTTTGAATTCACCGCAAAATGTAGGAAAGCCTTTTTTTCGGAAAAATTTGATGCTAACGAGCTGTTTTAGATGGTTAAACTTCTATGGAATTTCTAGAAAATGATTAAAAACATTTTAAAAAACATGGCATTCTACTGTGCAATAAAAGAAAAAAGGAATTTTTCTCTCTTTTCTCTCTCCTAAAATCTATCTAAAGCTTGACTTTTGAGTGGCTACTTTTCATTGATCAATTGCTAGGCAGTAAAACTCTCCAAATCAATCGTTTTCCCTTCCAGAGAGATCTGATTTGGGAAGAGAAATGGTAGAGAAATGGTTGAGAAAAGGGAAAAAAGCCTCAATGCATGAGGTCACTCGTTTCTTCAACTTTTCCCGATTTAACTTGACCGGGTGACACTTGAGTTTGCACTTGAGGCTGCGAATTTTCTATCAAAAGACTTTCTATCAATTTCTAAAACACTTCTGCTTCTTTTATAGTCTATCTATGACTAAAACTTAGCAAAAATAACCATTAGAGTAAGCTTTGACAGGCTTTCGCAAGCTTTGACAGGCTTTGACAGGCTTTGACAGGCTTTGACAGGCTTTGACAGGCTTTGACAGGCTTTGACAGGCTTTGACAGGCTTTGACAGGCTTTGACAGGCTTTTACAGGCCTTGACAGGCTTTGACAGGCTTTGGCAAGCTTTGACAGGCTTTGACAGGCTTTGACAGGCTTTGACAGGCTTTGACAGGCTTTGACAGGCTTTGACAGGCTTTGACAGGCTTTGACAGGCTTTGACAGGCTTTTACAGGCCTTGACAGGCTTTGACAGGCTTTGGCAAGCTTTGACAGGCTCTGATAGGCTTTGGCAAGCTTTGATAGGCTTTGGCAAGCTTTGACAGGCTTTGACAGGCTTTGACAGGCTTTGACAGGCTCTGATAGGCTTTGGCAAGCTTTGATAGGCTTTGGCAAGCTTTGACAGGCTTTGACAGGCTTTGGCAAGCTTTGGCAAGCTTTGACAGACACAAAAACGTTTGGTGTTTGAAACGTGTAAACACAGTGCACGTAACACAGACAGAACGTCTGTGTTGCTTGAAAAAGTTTACCTTTATTTGCTTTACCTGTAAAACTTGTATTTTACCTGCACTAGACACTAAAATGCACTAGTTTTCAGATAAATATCTAAATATTATATGCAATTCGGTTTTTGCTTTGTTTACGGTTTAGTTTGTTTTAGTTTTGTGATGTAAACATAGCCAAAGGGCTTCTTTAGCACGGGTTTCAGTGTACTTTCAGTGATTCAGTGTACTTTCGGTGATCCAGTGTACTTTCTATGCCGTTTGTGTGCGCCCAGCTCCTCAAGAGATGCGCTCAGCTCCTCAAGATATGCGCTCAGCTCCTCAAGAGATGCGCTCAGCTCCTCAAGAGATGCGCTCAGCTCCTCAAGAGATGCGCTCAGCTCCTCAAGAGATGCGCTCAGCTCCTCAAGAGATGCGCTCAGCTCAAGATATGTGTGCGCTCAGCTTATCCTTAATTCGACTATCAATATAGATTGATAGTCGAATTAATAATATAGAAATTGAGATATAAAAAACAAGTCTATAAAACAGTTATGCAAACCTTTTTTTTTACAATCCAGTCTTTCCCAAGTCATATGGGGCGTGGTTGTGCTCTCCTTTCTCCACTTCTTTTCTCCTTTTTCTCTCTTTACCCGCAAGGTGTCCTCGCGCACTCTTTCCCCAAACATATAGATAGGTTTTTACGATTATTTTTTTCCCGGATCCGATTTGGTTTTTCTATTTTCAACATTTTTATTTGAACTTTAACATGGGAATATAGAAAGATAAGATTCAATCTCAGAATGGCTCTATTCAAAGCAAATTCTCCGTAGATGGGAAAACCGTTCGATGAATCATTGGAAACCAGTTTTTCCCTCGATTCCCCCTTTTTTTTCAATTATCAATAAGATAAATGGTGCTTTACGGTTAACCGGGGGGAGGCGAATTTTTGTCCAACTTGCAACTCATTTTTAAGCACCTTAAACTTCTCAGCTCAGGAAGTTTTAATAAGATTTAGATAGCTTAGAACGTCAACTTTGAGATACTATTTGTTTCATCAAAAGTTATTAACAAAAACCTATCTAAAATTGGAATACAAAATGGTGAAAACTTGGCCCCCTCCCCCAACATTCGCTCGACCTCCTCCATGCACCCCGGTCGAGCCGAGTTGGTGACTATTTTACAGTTCCCAAGCTTTCACAGAAGCTCAACACTTTAACCCCTCACTAGATCTCATCGTCAGCTACATTTTCCGACCCCACATCGATAGGTTCTGATAAGCCGTTCTCGAGATTTCGAGGAATTTAGGCGACTCTCACTACTAGAGAGAAAATACGGTAAGTAGGTTGAAATTTTGAATGAATCTGATGATAGAAAGTGGGATAAAACAAGAGATAAGACCACGATAGCTTTCGGGATGAAACAAGAGATAAGATCACGATAGCTTTCGAAAACTGTCACTTTTTAGAAAATAGATTAATTAAGAGGCTCTTTGTTTGTTTGTTTTTCCTTACCGACTATCAAGTTAGTCATACTTTACTAAGAATCGAAATGGATTTGGGAAATGTAGCGCATAGATGCGGCTATCCGGCGCCATCTCTTTGGCGTCAATCCTCATCTCAGAGTCAAAGTCTCTTTGGCTGGGGCCATAGATCAGAGAAGGTGCAAGTCCTACCCATTTGGCTACCTTTTTCTGATGAACATTCTCTTTATGACTCATAACTTCCACGGAGAACTCTGATTTTTGACTTTTTGACTCCCTCACTCAAAAAAAAACCATTTGATTTAAGAGAAAAACAGCCTTTTTCGAACTTTCCAAATGAAATTTCGAGCCTAAAAAGCTGTTTTGTCTCGCAGAAACCATTAAAATGATTAGCACAAACAGTTTTCCTAAGTTTTCAGTTTTTTTCTCTACTGGAGACTCTAATTTTTTTTTATTTTTTACCTCTTTCACCTCTCTCCATCTCTTTTTCGCAATGTGAAACACTTGAAATTCTCTATTTATGTGAATCCATTCTTTTCTGTGTGAGATTCTTGCTAGAAGAGTCAATTTTTGTTCTGATAGATCAGCAATTAGATCAACTTTTACAGATAGATCAACTTTTACTCAATTTTACTTTTTTTACTTTTATTTCACTCAATCAACTCAATTATTGAGATAGATTAACGGTTTCTGGTTGAAGCAAGGAACTTTCTGGTTGAAGCAAGAAACTTTCTGGTTTAATAGGCTTTGAGTAGCTTTTAAGCTTTATAAGCTACTCAAAAAGCTACAAGTTTTGCTCTTCAACAAGTTTTACTCTTCAACAACAAGTTTTACTCTTCAAGTTCTTCAAGTTTTGCCCAAAAATAGTAGTTTCTCTTTCAGAAATGAGTGCCGTGGATAAATGGAAGCACGATGAGACAGCCGAGGCGGCCACCTCCGAATCGGATGCAGAACCGTGAGTGGCAACAAAAAAACGGGAGAGATTTTCGGAAATACTGAAAAGTATTAGTCATTCTCACCGTTTCAATAACGAGAAAAAAGGCTGAAAGAAGTCCATTCAGTGAAAAGAACTTTCGGAGCTCTTTTAAGAAAAAACCTCAAGTCATCACCGCACAAAACGTTTCCAATTTCAATTCTAAAGTTGGCAAAGTTGTTGCTTTTTAACTCAGGCTTAGGCACAGGCTCAGGCTTAGGCTTGGACTTAGTGCAAAGGCTAGCGGCTAGCACCTTGCACTAAGTATATTTGGGTTTGGGCTAAACCCCCATTTTCTGGATTTCAGCCAGTTAAGGTTTAGGCTCAGGCTTAGGCTCAAGCCAGGTTCAGGTTTAGACTCAGGCTTAGGCTTAAGCTCAGACTTAGGCTTAAGCTCAGGCTTAGGCTTAGGTCAGGCTTAGGCTCAAGCCAGGTTCAGGCTTAGGCCAGGCTTACGCGTAGGCTAGGTCTAGGTTCAGGCTTAGGCTTAGGCCAGGCCCAGGCTAAGGTCAGGCTTAGGCTTAGGCTTAGAGCAGATTTAGGCCAGGCTTAGGCTAAGGTCAAGCTCAGGATCAGACTCAGGCTTAGGCCAGGTTCAAGCTCAGGCTTAAGCCAGGCCCAGGCTTTTTAGATCAGGCTTAGGCCAGCTTCAGGCTTAGACCAGGCTCAAGCTCAGGCTTAAGCTTAGGCCAGCCTCAGGCTCAGACCCAGGCTTAGGCTTAGGTCAGGCTTAGGTTGGGCTTAGGTCAGGCTTAAGCCAGGCTTAGGTCAGGCTTAGGCCAGGCTCAGAGGCTGAAAAGAAAATAGGGGCTGAAACTGGAATCATTGTAGGATTTGTAGATGAGATTGAGTAATGCTTTATTTGTTTTAACACGATTGGATAACTGACTAGTTGGTATTTCTTGAATAATTAACTACGCCGAAACCAGTATTCATTACCTATGATTGACTAAATAACCCGACCTTGGGTAATTAAATGACAATTCCAAATTAATCGAGAAGATAAGATTAGCTGGGTTTCTATTGGGTTCTATCAACCCATTCAAAGCAAAGGCTTTTGGTTAACATTTAGTCCATTCTCAGCATCCAATACATTTGATTTCATAGAATAACTAGCTTTTGATATGAATCTATTCCACTCTCGCAGTATTCATTACCAGTTTATTTCTTGTTCACAGACTCTTTTCCATTCAATTTCCCTCTTTTTCATGTCATCGATCTCTTGTTTATTCTTGCGTGGATCTCTTCTTTTCATCAACAATGAGCCTTTACTTTCTTTTTCTTTTTCTTTTTTCTCTTCTTCTTCTTCTAACTGTACTTGGAATCTTTTAACCGGTTTTTTTCCGATTTTCCCCTTTTTTTCATATAATTTGCTCGATTCACTTCCCACAAGAACACTAATTTGATTTAGAATTTACTTTACTGAGAGTTCTCTTTACTGAGAACTCTCAGTAAGTTAGAGAATTTTGAAAAGTTTCTTTTGAAAACGGTTTAACTTTTTGTAGAGAGCATTTTTCAGAGAAATTTTTTGGAGAAATTTTTCGGAGAAATTTTTCGGAGAAAATTTTATCTAATTTTAAAGTGTCTCGAAATTTTTGAACTGCCTAATTTCTATACTTTTGAACGTCATTTAACTGAATATCTTTAAGCTGATTGATTAAGTTAATCAGTTTCAATGATTTGCAAACAATAGCTTTCAGGATATCCAATAGATAGTCAAGCGTCAATTGCTGATATTCAGCAATCATGATATTCAGCTATTCGATTGTATTATATTTAAATGATAGTTAAAAACTATCTAATATTCAAGATAGTCAAGATTTTAAGAGATAATTATTTGAGATTGTTATTTGAGATTGTTATTCAAGGTTGTTATTTAAGATATTCAATTATCCAATAGATACCTACCTACCGCCCCTCTCGACCAACTTTAGACGCCTCTTTCTCAGCTCCATTTTGAGATATTTTTATGCTCAATGTGCCAAAAAAATAGCCCTTAATGTCTTCTATCTTTTGATGTATCAAATATAAAAATGTCTCAAAATTGGGCTGAGAACAAGGCATCTAAACTCGAAGGCGTCTAAACCCCCCTCAACCAAGTTTAGACGCCTCTTTCTCAGCCCCATTTTGAGATATTTGTATGTTCAATATGCCAAAAAATAGCCCTTAATATCTTCTATCTTTTGGCATATTGAACATAAAAATATCTCAAAATGGAGCTGAGAACAAGACGTCTAAACTCGAAGGCGTCTAAACCCCCCTCGACCAGGTTTAGACGCCTTGTTCTCAGCCCCATTTTGAGATATTTTTATGTTCAATATGCCAATAAATAGCCCTTAATATCTTCTATCTTTTGGCACATTGAGCATAAAAATATCTCAAAATGGGGCTAAGAAGGAGGCGTCTAAAGTTGGTCAAGGGGGACATTTATTAAAGGAAATACGGTAGGTATGTAAATCTTCGTCCCTAAAATCTCTGACTTGTAAGATTTTGTAATAAAATACCAGAGTTTTAATCGAAATTCAAATTTCACTCATTTTTAACATCATGAGGATTTATTACTTTTCCTTTTTTTAGGTTGATGCAAAAGTCTTTTCATTTTTTCGTACTTCCGTTAAAAGTAACAAAGCACCAATTGAACAACGGTTTATTGCATCGAAAGGCCAATTATTTTTCAAAATGACATTAAAACGAGTTTAAATGTCTTATGTCTTTTTGAGAGCCTGAAGTCGGGTAGTCAAAAGGCGACGGCTCGATGATGCATTTTAGACGCTTTAGCTAAGGAAACCAATCTTGATGTTAATAAATAAAAGATAGAGCACAAAAAGTTAGATATCTTTTCATTTTCAGAGAAATTGATTCAGCCAATTTCTTTATAGAGGTTTTTATAGATTTTTATGAAAACCCGTTTTCCTCTCGAATTTGCTTGAAAGTGAACCCAAATTGACTTAAAGATGGGATTGAACAATACACTTTTTCAGCGCAAACCATAGGTTAATTGATGAGTTTGTTATTTTTCAAAAGGAAAATGAAAAGACTTTTGCATAACCTAATATTTCGTCAAAGTTTATTGCGTTTTTTATCAGTGAAAAGGCCTTGAGAGAAGTAGCCGATTGTCGTATCAAACAAGAAGGGAATAAAAGCAGAAAAGAAGAAGAAAGGGAAAAAATTGAATTAAAAGAAAGAAGAGAAAAGAGATTGAAAGAGAGATTCTCTCTGATTTCCTTTCCTTTCTACCCACAACGGTGACTGAGTCGTTTAAGCACTTTTGTAAACATGTGTTTTCTTCTTCCTCTTCTTCCTCTTCTTCTTCTTCTTCCTCTTCTTCTTCTTTCTCCTCTTCTTCTTCTTCTCCTTCTTCCTCCTCTTCTTCTTCTTCTCCTTCTTCTTCTCCTTCTTCTCCCCCTTCTTCTTCTTCTTCTTCTTCTCCTTCTTCCCCCTTCTTCTTCTTCTTCTTCTCCTTCTTCTCCCCTTCTTCTTCTTCTTCTTCTTCTCCTTCTTCCTCTTCTTCTTCTTCTTCTTCCTCTTCTTCCTCTTCTTCTCCTGGCCCCATCTCAACCCACAAATACCACCCCCACACGTGTAAAAAAGGAAAAAGAATTGAAAATGTTTAGGGCAGAGACATCACGCTGTGAAACAAAATCGAATCTCGATGGATGGGAGGTAAAAATGGGGAAATATTAAAAAAACGATGGATTTCTTTTGTTTACGTTTCCAAACTTTTTAGCCAATTTCTTAATATTATCTTCGATCATCTTTTATCAAATTTTACGTAGTCTATACCGATTGTCTTAGTTTTTGCGCTCGAATTTTCTTCGAAATAAGCCCAAATTAGTGTAAAAAGGGGGAAAGATGGAAAAGAATGTTTTTTTTTTTTTTTTTTTTTTTGGATGAGGGGGATAAATTTATTTAAAAATATTTTTGAAGGTAAAAAGGAAAGAAAGAAGTAGAAGGGGAGTATTATAAAAAAAAAAATTATTTACATTCTTGGAGTTGATTTACTTTCTTGAGGTTAATCCAAAAGTTTGCGCTCTTCTTGAGATTCTTGAGTTAACTTTTTTTTGAATCAACCTTCAAATCAACAATCAAATTCATTTCTGTTTTGGGTATATGACTCAAAACAGGTCTTTACCCAGTAGAGATGGGAAAATTTTAGTTCACGGCCGGCTCTCGGTTAGCCATACCTATTTAGGATAGGAAATTCCAACCCGAACCTAATCCCACCTTCTGTTTCCTCGACCGTTTCTTTTCCAAATTGCTCTGAAATTTTGTCTACAAGCTGGAAATGTTGATTTCTATCTGTAGACAAAATTTCAGAGCAATCGACCAAGAAAACGAAGTTGAAATCAGGCTCAAAGTGGAATTTTCCTATGTCTAGTATCCAGAACTACACTTTAAAGGTGTAAGACTGGTTCGAGGACCAAAAGTGAACCTGTAAACTTTAATTTTACATGAGGGACCAGTTCTAAAAGAGGCAAATGCATTCTTTAGCTATCAATAGCTTGCCCGGGAAAGGCAACAGTGTTTCCAAAAGAATTAAGCTCGTTCTACATTTTAAAACAGGCCTAAGCCTGAGCCTGAGCCTAGGCCTGAGCCTGAGCCGGAGCCAGAGCCAGAGCCTGAGCCAGAGCCTGAGCCTGAGCCTAGGCCTGAGCCAGAGCCTAAGCCTATTTCCAAACGTAGAAAGTGCTTGAATCTTTTGGAAACACTGTTATCTTTCCCGTGCTAAAGAATCCTCAGTTTTTAGTCTCTTCCTAGTAGCTTATCAAGCTCTTAGACGGAAATTTCAGCTTGCCTATGAATACCTTTAAATAGAAGCCTAAACATATCCATTTTCTCACACAAAAGTAAAGCCTCTTATTTGCAGAGTGACCTCTCGGTGACCCGATCATTCACGGCGCTCCCGCGGAGAGAATCGCGTGGAGAGACGAGTCAGCGAGAGGCTGAACTGATCGAGGAAAATCGTCGATTAAAAACCCAACTCGAGTTGATCTCAAGGGGCGATTCGTCTCTCAAGGTTCGTTCGCCAAACATTTCTCCTTCGATAAGAATCTCACCGCACAAGTGTTTTTTCTGTGAGTACAAATGGAAAGCACAAGTGATGCTTTGATAGAAATCGAAATGTGACCGCTAGAAAGGCTATAGTTTGATCACGAGATGATTTTTAACAAAATCTAAAAACTTTAGGATATATTGGAGGAGAATGAGAAGCTCAAGAAGCAGCTAGATGAGGCAAATGATTATGTGGATCATGTGGACATTGAGAATGAACAGGTAAAACACTGGACTTGTCTGAAACTTGTCTTGTCTGTCTGACTTGTCTTTTGCTTAACTTTAAGATGGAAACACACCATTTCTGGGGCATAGTTTTGTTAGAAATAACGACTTGAGTGCCCCCAAAGAAGCTGTGTTTCGAAATTTAAGTACAAGTTCACCAAATCTAGTTGTTTTTTATGAAAAATATTGCAGATTCTGAGAAGAGTACTCTATTTTTGAAGTTCTTGTACATAAAAGAGTACTCTATTTCAGCGTTAACTGAATATTTTAACTGAATAAGAACTGAATAAGAACTGAACAAGATTTCACGATACTCAGCCAGCAAAATAAGATCTTTGAGGGACTGTAACTAGCTACATAAACCTAAAACTTTGATAACTTTGAAAAGGGACGGGCAAGAATATTTGTAAGAATGAAAATCTATATCAGCTTTCTTTCGAAGACGATTTTTTGAAAATACAGCCCATAGAAGTTCGAGAAATTCCCATATTCTTTGCCATCTTGGCCTGTGAACTGGCCTGTGAACTGGCCTGTGAACTGGCTTTCAGTGAATGGCTTGGCTTTTCCAAGGGTTGATGATCTCGAACCTTCTTGATATTAGTCTTTGTGACAACAACCGCTTTACCACCACCTCCTGGAGGATCAAAATTTATTCCTAACTCTTAAAGGCGTTTGATCGCGTTGTAAACAAGTTGTTTGCGTGAATCTTTAGTGAGTTAAATGAAATGAAGAAATACGTCGATAGAAAGGGATCGGGGGAATATACTAGGGAAAGGGGTAAGACTCCGAATAAATAGAGTTTCAAGTTGAGAGATCCGGCCGTTCGAAGGACGTTTGAAAGCGTTTGAAAGCGTTTGAAAGCGTTTGAAAGCGTTTGAAAGCAAAAGGACGATCAGAATTGATTCCTAACTCTTAAAAGCGTTTGGTCACGTTGCAAAAAAGTTGTTTGTGTATCACCAATCGCTTAGAGATATCCATCGCCAGAACGCGACGCTTGTGTAAGTCGATGATCGCATCTCGGTACACTCACTTCTTAGCTTTCTTAGCTTTCTTAGCCATTCTAAAGCGATATTGTTAAGAAAAAAATACTAAGTAAATAGTTAAATAAATGAAATAAACCAAAAGAAAGACAAAAAGAATATATAAATTGTAAGGAAAAATATGCAACAGCAAAAATACTCTTAGATAATTCTGGACAATCCTGTAAGCATTGAAAATTGATTGCTTACATTGATTGCTGACATTGACTACCTACATTGACTACTTGCATTGACTACCTACATTGACTACTTCCATTGACTACCTACATTGACTACTTGCATTGACTACCTACATTGACTACTTCCATTTTAGCAATACAGCACAATGTCTAACCAAATCGAGGAATTGATTCAAATGGTGCAGGAGAAAAAGAAAGAGAATTTGAATTTGAAAAAAAACGTTGAAGATCGAGATCGAACTATTGCACAGCTCAGGTTTTCATAAATCAAAATCAGAAAATCAAAAATTGCCTCTTTACAGCAGAAATGTCGATCAACACAAAGTGAGCATTGATCGACAACATGAGATCATTGAACAGATACGGTAAATCCTAAAAATGGGAAATGAATGCAAATTCATTTAGAGAGGAGCTGGATCGAGAGAAAGATCTCCGAATAGAAGCTGATAATGAGAAGGATAAACTCTATGGGGAGCTGGGCGAATTACAAAAGAGAGTTGATGACACGAGAAATGAATTCGTGCAGAAAGTGGGTTAAAGAACTAAAGATTTAAAGATCTAACGATCTAAGGATCTAAAGATCTAAAGATTTAAAGATTTAAAGATCTAAAGATCTAAAGGGCTAAAGATTTAAAGATCTAACGATCTAAAGATCTAAAGGGCTAAAGATTTAAGGATCTAAGGATCTAAAGACCTAAGGATCTAAGGATCTAAAGATCTAAAGATCTAAAGCTTTAAAGATCTAAGGATCTAAAGACCTAAGGACAAAGACAAAGACTAAAGCTTTAAAGATCTAAGGATCTAAAGACCGCAAAGAAAAGACAAAGCTAAAGACTAGGATCTAAAGACCAAGGATCTAAAGACAAAGATCAAGCTTAAAGATCTAAGGATCTAAAGACCTAGGATCTAAAGACAAAGACAAAGCTTTAAAGATCTAAGGATCTAAAGACCTAAGGATCTAAGGATCAAGACAAGCAAGACGGACAAGCCGGACAAGGCAGCGCGGCAAGACCAGGACAAAGATCTAAAGATCTAAAGCTTTAAAGATCTAAGGATCTAAAGACCTAAGGATCTAAAGATCTAAAGATCTAAAGCTTTAAAGATCTAAAGCTATAAACATCTAGTTTTAAAGACCCAAAGATCTAAAGATTTTCTAGGAAATGATGCTTCAAATGGAATTGGAAGATGTGCAGAGAATCCTCGATAAACAAAAGGAGATTCTCAGTGCCTCGTCGGTGGCATCTCTTGTCGATAAGGTGAATCATTTTCCACAATCTAGCTATTAGCTATTAGCTATTAGCTATCTAGCTATTTAGCTATTAGCTATTAGCTATTAGCTATTAGCTATTAGCTATTAGCTATCTAGCAATTGAAAACTGTTGATGAAAAATCAAATCCCAATCCGAGTTGCCAAAAAAACAAAAAAAAGCAATTTGAGGGACGGGGAAGAGAATGAGACGAAAAAGTGACACAAATTAAATGCAAATAGGAACGTAATTTGAAGGGAATGGGCGCGATCGCTTGGTCTGACTTGGACTTGTCCCAATTTTACTGCTAACATGGAATAATCCTGTCCAGAAAACTTTTTGAGACAGAAATCAGAGCAGGATGACAGAATTTGCCTCTTCTTGCCTTTCTCACTTTTCGAAACATACAAAACGCATCAAATACGTAAATCTGTTGAAAAACTGTTTAGTTAAATTCCCTCAATAAAGTAAAGCACATTATTTTTTAGTGGGAACGCCGAGTTCTCTCATTGGAGAACGCAGTGCGTGAGCGAGAGATCATGCTGCATACACAACAGCAGATCATCGCCGAATTGCGACGAAGAATGGCTTTTCTTGATCGAGGAGCAGCTAGGTAAGATAAAATACCAAAAATCTCTACTACTTGCCCGCAAAAGTTTTCTTTTATTACTTTATAAGCAGGTAAGCAGTCAGATCTCTGCCAGTCACTTAGTGACAAGTACTTTTCAATGTACTGTTAGTGACAAGTACTGTTCAATGTACTGTTAGTGACAAGTACTGTTGAATGTACTGCTAGGGACAAGTACAGTTCAATGTACTCTTAGTGACAAGTACTGTTCAATGTACTGTTCAATGTACTGTTCAATGTACTGTTCAATGTACTGTTAATGTACTGTTCAATGTGCTGTTAGTGACAAGTACTGTTCAATGTACTCTTAGTGACAAGTACTGTTCAATGTACTGTTAGGGACAAGTACTGTTCAATGTACTCTTAGTGACAAGTACTGTTCAGTGTACTGTTAGTGACAAGTACTGTTCAATGTACCGTTAGTGACAAGTGCACCTGTTCATGGTACTGCTAGGGACAAGTACTGTTCAATGTACTGCTAGGGACAAGTACATCTGTTCAAAACTGTATTGATTGAGTTTAATTATCGCAAACTAGTTAAACCTATATAAATCTATATAACTATATATTACAAATATAAAAATATATAGAAAATGCATTAGACTTAGACATTAGACTCAAGAATTTCAGCAGTGGAGAAAGCTTGGATAGTTCGGAGCGAAGCGCCATCGAACACCGAAAGAAACAAGCGGTCTTCAGATATTTGACAAGGTAAGAAGTTGAACGTAGCTAATATTTTACTTTACATTTAAAATCGATGGATTCATTTTTAATATTCAGTTTTAATGATTCAGTTTTAATGATTCAGTTTTAATGATTCAGTATTTGAAATCTCGATTCCAGTGACGATTACGAGAAGAAAGAGCTCGTCGGCTCGGTTGCGGTGGCGCTCGATTTGACGAAAGATGAAGAGGACCATTTGAGAAATACCCTTAATCGCACCAAAAAACATAGGAAACAATATATTCTCTGAAATTTATGGAACTTTACACTTATTTATATCATCGATTTATTGTTTTGCGTGTAAATAAAACTTTCATTTAATTCATTTAATCGCTAATTGAAGTGTTCACGATTACAGCTCGAGTGTGTGTGTGTGTGTTCCTCGCTTGTGGCTTGTGGCCATCTTAAGCTAGTGGCCATCTTAAGCTTGTGGCCATCTTAAGCTAGTGGCCATCTTAAGCTTGTGGCCATCGCTTGTGGCCATCTTAGGCTAGTGGCCATCGCTTGTGGCCATCTTAAGCTTGTGGCCATCTTAAGCTAGTGGCCATCTTAAGCTAGTGGCCATCTTAAGCTTGTGGCCATCGCTTGTGGCCATCTTAAGCTTGTGGCCATCTAAGCTTGTGGCCATCTTAAGCTTGTGGCCATCTTAAGCTAGTGGCCATCTTAAGCTAGTGGCCATCTTAAGCTAGTGGCCATCTTAAGCTTGTGGCCATCTTAAGCTTGTGGCCATCTTAAGCTTGTGACCATCTTAAGCTAGTGGCCATCTTAAGCTAGTGGCCATCTTAAGCTAGTGGCCATCGCTAGTGGCCATCGCTAGTGGCCATCGCTAGTGGCTCTTTAAAATTTCCTAATTGCATATGATTTCCTTGAAATCATTAGTAGAAACTTTATCGAGAGCAAGTAAATGAAGAGAAAGTTAACACACTAAAATGAACTAGGGAAGGTTACTGTAGAGTGTGCAAGTACTGTAGTACTGTAGAGTGTGTAAGTACTGTAGTACTGTAGAGTAAGTAAGTAATTACTCGAGTCAAATTTGAACGAGTCATTTTTTACTCGACTATTCGACGCGAGTAGTCGCCAAGTCTAGTAGGCACATGTATTAGGAGTTCAATTCTCTACAGTTCTGTATAATGTACTGTTAGTGTTCAATGTACTGCTAGCTCTCTACAAGTACAAATTCAATGTACTGTTAGTTCTCTACAAGTACAAATTCAATGTACTGCTAGCTCTCTACAAGTACAAATTCAATGTACTGTTAGTGTTCAATGTACTGCTAGCTCTCTACAAGTACAAATTCAGTGTACTATTAGTGTTCAATGTACTCTTAGTTCTCTACAAGCACAAATTGAATGTACTGTTAAGGTTCAATGTACTGTTAGTGTTCAATGTACTGCTAGCTCTCTACAAGTACAAATCGCTAGGAAACTTTAGTTTCTAAAACAGTGAACAGCTTCTAGAACACTTTTACAAAGAATCTTTTGTAATTTAGATAAAGATAAGCTAATATTTTGATCAGAAAACTGAAAATCTAAAATCTAATAACTCTGTCTAATAAATCTAATAACTCTGAATGTGATCCTGAACGGTTGGGTGTTGGTGTTGGGTCCTGCTGCGAAACCTGATTACGGTAGTTCAGCAATTGATCTTTTGCCAGTTGCGGTTTGAAATTTTCATTGCCCCCTTTAACTCTTTAGCTTTTATTTAGCTTTAGCTTTTTGCTCTTAGCATTTTCAAATCCAATTTCAATGACGGATCATATTGATGAAGATCTTGAACAATATGATCTCTGCCAAACCGTCAACCTCACCATCGAAATCGATGAGCCGACAATTGTCATTGAGGAGTCTTTTGAACAGGTGAATCTTGTACTTTTATTTGTATTTACATTTGTACTTTTATTTGTACTTTTATTTGTACTTTTATTTGTACTTTTATTTGTATTTGCATTTGTATTTGCATTAGATATATATAAATTGCAAAAATCAATTAAAACGACTTTAAAATATTTGGTTGAATGTCAAAATATTTGGTTGATGTTGGTGTGGTTTATTCTTTGCTCTTTTTAGAAACAAATACTCTTTCAATTTTACCAATTTTTACCATTTAAAACCTCTATTAATCTCTATTGATCTCTTCTAAAAGTAGCATTTGAAAGTGTTTCGATTTTATGCTTTTCTCAGATAGCAGAAATGCTACTTTTAGAAGAGATCGATAGAGAGATCAATAGAGATTAGTAGAGGTTTTAAATAACAAGTTAAATAGCAAGTTAAGCAAGTTAAATAGCAAGTTAAATAGGATGTTAAATAGGATGTTAAATAGCAAGTTAAATAGCAAGTTAAATAGGATGTTAAATAGCATGTTAAATAGGATGTTAAATAGCATGTTAAATAGCATGTTAAATAGCATGTTAAATAGCATGTTAAATAGCATGTTAAATAGCAAGTTAAATAGCAAGTTACTAAATTAGTTCTTTAATTGTTTCTACAGAGAAAAATGTCGGCTTAATAGTTTTAAAGACGACAATTCAAGCTTTCGAATGAAATAAAGCTTGATTGATTTGGATTATTCATTTGGATTATTCATTTTCGTGAAAATCTAGAGACTTGATATCTTTTGTTGATCTCTGGCCAAGTTGGCTTTGATTTTCTCGGGATTAGTTGATTCTCGGGATTAGTTGATCATATGAAAACATAGTACTCAACCGAATAGTAACTGGAAAATCAGAAATCCTTCTGTTTTTGTTTAGATAACAGTCAGTGGTTCGTTGCCAAGAGTTGGCCCATCAAAGAATCTAGAAGAAGCACTGGCGCTGGCGAGAATTGGGGAAGATGTGCTGGTGAGAGATCTGCCGGATGATATGAGGTTTGTGATACAAAAGTGGGACAAGATGACCGCAAATTGAAGCGACAACTCTTCGACAATTTGGACAATTTTTCTCTTTTTGGAAGACTAGCTGAGAAATGTTTCACTTATTTTTGAAGTATTAAGTATTATATAGAGAATTGTAGCCCTTAATCTTGGCTACATTTATCTAGCAAAAACTTCCCGATTGAACTTATACAACACATTTGACAAGCGTTTGAATGAACTCTATCTGTCATTTGGTGATCTTGTCATTTGGCTGCTTTTCTCTATTAAAAATTGTTAAGAAAAGCTTTTTAATGAGGCAAGGACTTGTATCTTTTATTTCAATTCATTAAATCATACGGAATCTAGCGTAATTTTAATACAGAAATTGATATTCTGAATCAAGAAATGTTTAGAACATATTTAGAACATTTTCACCTTTTTCCCTGCTCCTCCAAAATGATCTTGACATTAACTGAAGAAGCGTTATATAGAGAATTGTAGCCCTTAATCTTGGCTACATTTATCTACTAGAAACTTCTCGATTCGACTTATACAACTCATTTGACAAGCGTTTGAATCAGCGATAGTCGAAATCTCTCCGGCGATCTGCCATTTTCTCTATTAAAAATCGCTTTTCTCTATTAAAAGTTAGTTAATTGTGATCCTTAACGTATAAAGTGATGTCATTTTGCATTTAAGAAATATTGAAAAGCTTTTCTCAACAATTAAAAAGAGAGAAAAGTGGCCAAATGACAGATCGCCGGAGAGATTTCGACTAGCGCTCATTCAAACGCTTGTCAAATGAGTTGTATAAGTCCAATCGAGAAGTTTTTGCTAGATAAATATAGCCAAGATTAAGGGCTACAATTCTCTATATAACGCTTGATACTTCTGAAATAAGCTAGGCATTTTGCAGCTAGTTTCCCAAAAAGTTGTTAATGCTAGGTTATGTTATACTATTTTAAGCCAGATTTCTTTCTTAAAACTCAAAAATTCACGCTTTATAAGTTCTAAAATGTACCTTTTCATTTTTAGGAAAGAACTCTGCACTCATCTCAACATAAACCCATTTGGAACGAGCATGAGAAATTGGGAAACGGTGGCCGCAAAAATGGGAGCATCTTCGGATGAGATTTTGGTTGGTTTCAGGAAATTCAGGGCTTTGAAATCGTCAAAACCTAAAATTCAGGGCTTGAAATCGTCAACAAATCCAACGGGAGAGCTTCTTTCGCAAAAGAAATCCGAAAAGGTGAATGTGTTACTGGAAGCGATCGCGAAATCGGGACGAGTCGACACGCTTGTCTCAATGAGGAAATTTGCGATGAGACGGATTCAAAAACAGGCGAAAGTTGCTCCGATTATCGGTTGGTTTTTTGGGATTTGTGTAGAATTTGCTCAACTTACAAATAGGATTTGCTGATCTGCCTAGTCTGCTGATCTGCTTAGTCTGCTGCGTCTGCTGAGTCTGATTAGTCTGCTGAGTTTGCTGAGTCTGCTTAGTCTGCTCATTCTGCTGATTCTACTGAGTCTACTGAGTCTGCTTAGTCTGCTGCGTCTGCTGATTCAGCTGAGTCTGCTGATTCTGCAGATTCTGCTGATTCTGCAGATTCTGCAGATTCTGCTGATTCTGCTGATTATGCTGATTCTGCTGATTCTGCAGATTCTGCTGATTATGCTGATTCTGCTGATTCTGCTGATTCAGCTGAGTCTGCTGAGTCTGCTGAGTCTGCTGCGTCTGCTGATTCAGCTGAGTCTGCTGATTCTGCTGATTCTGCTGATTCTGCAGATTCTGCTGATTCTGCTGATTCTGCTGATTCTGCTGAGTCTGCTGAGTCTGCTGAGTCTGCTGCGTCTGCTGATTCAGCTGAGTCTGCTGATTCAGCTGAGTCTGCTGATTCAGCTGAGTCTGCTGAGTCTGCTGAGTCTGCTGATCTGCTTAGTCTGCTGAGTCTGCTGTTGACTAAATCAAATCAAGAATCCGCGTCTTCTAAAAGACATCTATTTTCCAATCTATCGTAATCACCTTCCATTCAATCATCCAAATTTTCGTTTAGCAACGAAAGACCAAAAGCTCAGGCAATGATATCAGAATTTCGATGATTCAATGAAAATTTTCTAGTTTTCTGGCGCTTAATTGGCAGCTTGATTGCTTTCTAAACTTGTTGTCTTTTAGAAAACGGATAAAACAAGAGAAACACAGTACAAGTGAATGCTAGAGTTAAAGTCAAAGAGTCAAAGTCTAGAGTCAAAGTTTTAGGCAACAACTTCAGCACAGCTTCAACTGTCCCATGCACGAGTAAATACGATGATTACACGACGGGTAATTGAAATTAAAACTATAATCCCAGTTCTTTTCTTTAGTTGCCCTCTTAATTCACTATGAAACGAGCAAAGACGAGAGAAAAGCTTTTAAAAAGTTCAAGCTAAATTTCAAGTATGTTTTTTTTCAAGTACGAAATGAGACAAAACAATCGTTTAGCCTTCAACTACCTCCAGAAATCTTTGTCGAAGACCTATTAGAAATCGATGCATCTGAGAATTTCTATGCTCAACTTTTAGAAGCTTTTCAAAAGGTAAAATTAGTAGACTTCAAGTTTCAAGTAGACTTCATGTAGAGCTCAAGTAGAGCTCAAGTAGACCTCAAGGTAGACTTCAAGTAGACTTCAAATAGCCTTCAAGTAGCCTTCAAGTAGCCTTCAAGTAGACCTCAAGGTAGACTTCAAGTAGACTTCAAGTAGCCTTCAAGTAGCCTTCAAGTAGACTTCAAGTAGACTTCAAGTAGACTTCAAGTAGCCTTCAAGTAGCCTTCAAGTAGACCTCAAGGTAGACTTCAAGTAGACTTCAAGTAGCCTTCAAGTAGACCTCAAGGTAGACTTCAAGTAGACTTCAAGTAGCCTTCAAGTAGCCTTCAAGTAGCCTTCAAGTAGCCTTCAAGTAGCCTTCAAGTAGCCTTCAAGTAGACCTCAAGGTAGACTTCAAGTAGACTTCAAGTAGCCTTCAAGTAGCCTTCAGGTAGCCTTCAAGTAGCCTTCAAGTAGCCTTCAAGTAGCCTTCAAGTAGCCTTCAAGTAGCCTTCAAGTAGCCTTCAAGTAGCCTTCAAGGTAGACTTCAAGTAGACTTCAAGTAGCCTTCAAGTAGACCTCAAGGTAGACTTCAAGTAGACTTCAAGTAGCCTTCAAGTAGCCTTCAAGTAGCCTTCAAGTAGCCTTCAAGTAGCCTTCAAGTAGACCTCAAGGTAGACTTCAAGTAGACTTCAAGTAGCCTTCAAGTAGCCTTCAGGTAGCCTTCAAGTAGCCTTCAAGTAGCCTTCAAGTAGCCTTCAAGTAGCCTTCAAGTAGCCTTCAAGTAGCCTTCAAGTAGCCTTCAAGGTAGACTTCAAGTAGACTTCAAGTAGCCTTCAAGTAGACCTCAAGGTAGACTTCAAGGTAGACTTCAAGTAGCCTTCAAGTAGCCTTCAAGTAGACCTCAAGGTAGACTTCAAGTAGACTTCAAGTAGCCTTCAAGTAGCCTTCAGGTAGCCTTCAAGTAGCCTTCAAGTAGCCTTCAAGTAGCCTTCAAGTAGCCTTCAAGTAGCCTTCAAGTAGCCTTCAAGTAGCCTTCAAGTAGACCTCAAGGTAGACTTCAAGTAGACTTCAAGTAGCCTTCAAGTAGACCAAGCGGGCCCAGGGCCCAGAGGCCAGGAGCTCAAGAGGTCAAGATAGACTCAGGTGACTTCAGTAGACTCAAGTAGGCTCCAGTGCCCAGAGAGCAAGGCTAAGTAGGCTCAAGTAGCTCAAGTAGACTTCAAGTAGACATCAAGTAGACTTCAAGTAGAGCTCAAGTAGACTCCAAGTAAACAGCTTTAAGTAGACTTGTTTATCAGTCAAATTAGTGCTAAATGAAAGATATACCATCAATCCTCTACCGTATTTTTGCTTAAATCACTCTAACTCGATTCTTTTTTGCTTAAAACCTAAAAACATTTAAAATTTGTTGTTTGAACTAAAATTTAAACCGATTTAAACTTTAAAACTTTAAAATTTTCTGCAAAATAGGCTAGATTCCATTTTGAAACTCGGTAAATAAGCAGTAAGGCTAACTAGATAAAGCCGGCAATCTTGAGTATCTTGAGTATCCATTTTTGATTTCAGGCATCTCATGTGATCGTTTGTTTAACTCATTCCTAACCTATTTTGTAGCAAATTTTTCGCTAATTCCGTTACCAAGATTTCACATTTAAGACTTTAACAAGAATTCTTAAACAAAAAGAAAAATTTTGGTCCAAGCCCGGGATCGAACCAGCGTCAGAGCCTAGTGCCCTCGCCCTCAAGCCCACCGCACTTACCACTCGGCCACGACGACATACCGCCCCGGAGACTCAAAATTGCCTAATACTCACGCGGGCATATAAATAGCGCTTTTTTTAAACAGCTTGTTTTTCACAAAAACTGTTTTTTACGCCCAAACTTTAAACGTATTTGAATCAAAAATTTGAACTCATTACACAAAAACGACTTAGATATTTGGAATCAGCGAAAAATTTGCTACGAAATCGGCTAGATTCCACTTTGAAACTCGGTAAATAGGCAGTAAGGCTAACTGTGCAGTGTGTGAGAGAGGTTTGTGTAGGTTCCAATTGGTAAATAGACAACGATCTAGTCCTAGTTACAGCAACGATTCCTAGTTAGTTATGGTTTAAGTTTAAGCGATTAAATGGAAAGTTTCTGGGACAATGTTTATTAGATATTTATCCCGAATCTAACGCAATACTAATCTAGCGAGAAAATACAAAAGAATAGAATCAATCGTTGGTTCAGTGTTTCAGTGTTTCAGTGGTTCAGTGTTTCATAGCAATACGAAAAGCAATATGAAGAGACAATACAAAAAGCAATATATAGTGAGCTCCGTCCCTTTTATCATAAAAGCGATTTTTTAGAGGCGGGACAAGAGAATCAGTTATTCAAATCAAAACATTAAATAAGATTTCACAGAAAAGAGCCACTTTTCTGCACACTAACTAGATAAAGCCGGCAATCTTGAGTATCTTGGGTATCCATTTTTGATTTCAGGCATCTCATGTGATCGTTTGTTTAACTCATTCCTATTGTCAACTCATCTCATCAATTGATTCACCGAAAGATGATTCACAAAAGGTGAATAGAAAGAAAGAACAATAGAAAGAAATAGCGGATTTTAACAGAGCTTTGTCAAACAGAGCATTTCAGCATTTCATTGAGTCAAACAGAGCTAACAGAGGCAAAAACAAACTGCAAAAGCAAGCAAAATCTTTTCAAATCTTGTCTAGGCTGTCAAAAACGTGCACAATTTGATGGACACCGAATTCGGGAACAACAATTGCAAGAATAAGCGATTTCGACCGCTAATCATGGAGGTGCGTTGGAAAATAAGTTGAAAACTTGAGCAACTTTGATGCTAAAGTAGCTACTTTAGCTACTTTAGCTACTTTAGCAACTTTAGCATCAAACGAAATTCCTTGCAAGTTCTTTAACTGATCTTGAGCAACTTTAGCATTGTAGGAAAAGCATTTCATTGAATCTAACCGTAATTTTTGATCAATTTCAATAAATTTTGATCAATTTCAATAATTTTTGATCTAATTTGCTAAATTTTGATCAATTTCAATAAATTTTGATCTAATTGCTAAACTGAATGCTAATTTCATCCTTTTTAGGAGTCAATCTCTCGAAATCTTCCTCTCGGATGGGCTTCATCGACGACTCTCTATCGATGGCCCAACGATTTCCACAAATTGATTGATCGAGTCAAATTCAATCCTATGATTTCACAAACAATGTGATTAGTGTTCTTGAAATGAGCTTGAGATATTGTAACGGGTAAAAAAACGATTGCTGAGTGATACAAATGCATTAATAACTTTCAAACAAGCTTTAGAAATCTTTTCTAGAATCTTCTAGAATTTTAGAATTCTAGAATTCTAGCATCTTCTAGAATTCTAGAATTATCTCAAATATATAAAATATCTAGCAGTTGTACTTATCTTTACCTCCAGATTGTACCAGTCAAATACCTTGACTTATATCACAATATTATCCAAAGAACACCTTGAAAAGCATGTTTTGAAGTTAAAGATTCGAAAGGGAAGGTAAAGAAAGACAAAGAAAAGACAAAGAAAGATAAAGATAAAGCGAAGAAAAGCCAAAGAAAGACAAAGAAAGGTTTAAGAAGGAAAGTAGGAAAGAAAGGTAGAAGCAGTAAAGACAAGAGGGAAAGTTTAGTTAAAGATTTAAAGTTAAAGATCTAAAGTTAAAGGTTTAAAGTTAAAGATCTAAAGTTAAAGATTTAAAGATTAAAGCTTCTAAAGGTTAAAACGTTCGTTTACGAAAAGTGTCAAAACATTTGATGAATCCTGTGCTGTTTTGTGCTTTCTGGCTGGTTTTTGATACAAAATCTTTCAATAAACCTATTCAGGCATTGAAATTCTAATTTAATATATATTTAATCCAATAGAATTTAAAAATCATATTTTAAAACATTAAAATAGATCCAAAGGGGACGAGTTTTCAATAGAAAAACGCACATTTTTCAACAAACATCCGCATAGCTTCTTTTCTTTTCTTTTCTTTTCTTTTCTTTTCTTTTCTTTTTAATGTCCTCTTTTCTTTTTAATGTTCTTTGTCTTTTTGAGGAAAAATCCACGCATCATTCTGTGAGAGAATCGACAGGAAAAGTGGGGATATTTGTGCGAGCTCTCGAAACGAGCCACCGGACACATTGTCCTCGCTTATTTCCCCGCTCATCAGCAGCGTCCTTGGCTATTCCTCCTATTCCTTCATTCATTCTATTTGTCTGTTAATCATCTTCTTCTAGTGCCTGTTAATCATCTCACTTTCTATTGTTGTTTAGTCAGACAGTTCCTGTTGTTGTTCTTGTTGAACTTATGGCTTGATTTTAAAACCAAATGAATTCTAAAAGTTACTACAATTACTGTAGTTCTTACTGCATATTAATCTAGTTTTCAGCTTATAATTTTCAGCGGATTTATTCTAAAAAAAACCTCCAAGCTTTGCTTCTATTTGCTTTAGAGTTTCGCAAATAGGTTTGTGCTCATAAAATGGGGCGAAAAAGAGTAAAACGAAGATTGCCTTGTATAGACTCGAACCCCCAGGGTCCAAAGGGTATATGCCCGGCAGACGCACGCACTAGCCAATACACCACCAAGACCGTTGGCTGAAGACAGTGCGTCGCCCTTATAAAGAGACCGAAAAAACTTGTATGCCAAATATCTCGCGATAGAGAAGCGTTTGGCAAAAACTGATTGCAGATTCGGAATCAGCGTGAAAAACTGCATCAGATAGACTATTTTCTGAGTCAAAAGCCATGATAAGTTAACAAAATTTCCTAGTAAAACCAAAGTTGTACAATAAACAATCAACTTTCCTTACAAGTTTTCATCAAAACCCACCACAATTCTTTCTCATTTCAACTTTGAATGCAAAACTCTTGTGAATGACGAAGAACAATAGATTGGTTGAAAGAGAATGAATGGGGATGGGTCTCGATGCATATTTGCCAGTCATTTAGCCGTTCCATTCGGCTAGAAAAGCTCTCTTTTAGATGGGAACAAGCACAAACAATCCTCCTCTTCTTTCTCTTCTCCTTTCACTCATCCAATACCCACCATTTCCCTTCTATAGCTTCTATAGCTTCTGCATTCTATTTCTGCATTAGAGTCTTCTGCATTAACATCAAAGAATCTATAAATTTTGGTACTTATGACTATAATATTCTTGCTTTTTCTGAAAGTTTCCTGTTCTTGAAAGCAGCTCTTGAAAGTAGTTCTTGAAAGCAGTTCTTGAAGGCTTTCATTTCCTGAAAGCAGTTCCTGAAACCAATTCCTGAAACAAATTCCTGAGAGCTTTCCTTTTCAAAAACCAAATCTCTTTTTTATTCTTGTATAGTCATTTTTCCTTTTTGCAATTTATCGCCCACTTTCCCGTATCAGCCGTTTTGCGCCTTTTTTACATTGATTCATCGGAATTTCTTTTTAGTTCTTTTTCTAATCATGTATTCCAAAAAGTTTTCTGCTTTAAAGGCTTTTTATTTTTCTTTTTGAGAGATCAAAGATATATTTAGATGAAAGTTTTACTCATCTAAATCGATTTTTATCTGAATTTTAAACTTTAAACTTTAATGATTCATAAAAACCTAGAAAAAACTCTTTCTTTCCCAGGAAAAACTTTAAACTTTAAACTTTAAACTTTAAAAGAACTTTAAAACTTTAAAAGAACTTTAAAACTTTAAAAGCTAGTATAAAAATATAAGCAAATAAAAGAAAGATAATAGAAAGCTGTGAGAAAATCGGTAAATCTTTCCAAGAAAGTCTAACAGTTAAAATATCGATTCTAGGTCCCAAGTTTCCACAAAATTTCCCTTCATATGCTTAAAATGTTCTTCTATATCCAATAATCGTAATGTTTATGCTATGAAGAACTTTAAAATTTAAAAGAACTTTAAAACTTTAAAAGCTAATATAAAAATATAAGCAAATAAGAGAAAGATAATATAAAAACTATGAGAAAACTAGAAACTATGAGAACTATGAGAAACTATGAGAAACTATCAGAAACTATGAGAACTATGAGAAACTATGAGAAAAATCTTTCCAAGAAAGCCTAACAGTTAAAATATCGATTCTAGTTTCCAATTTTCCACTCGTGTGCTTTAAAATTTCCCTTCATATGCTTAAAATGCTCTTCTATATCCAATAATCGTAACGTTTATGCTATGATATTTATTCTTTTCTTAAAATCTACTATATACTCTGTATAACGGAAGTCTCTATATAGGGGAAAACCAAGATTCCATTCCATATAATGGAATGGAATCTTGGTCCCGACAAACGCTAAGCTTTATATAACGGACTCTACATAACGGATTCTATATAACGGACTCGATCTAACGGATTCTATAACGTAATGGACTTTATATAATGGACTCTATATAACGGACTCTATATAACGGATTCTATATAACAGATTCTATATAACGGATTCTATATAACAGACTCTATATAACGGACTCTATATAACGGACTCGATCTAACGGACCCGATAGACGCTAAGCTTTATATAATGGACTCTATATAACAGACTCTATATAATGGATTCCATATAACGGATTCTATATAACGGACTCTATATAACGGACTCGATCTAACGGACTCGATCTAACGGCAGCTCTATATAACGGACTCTATATAACAGATTCTATATAACGGACTCGATCTAACGGGAGCTCTATATGATGGAAAAATTCTTTTCGTCCATTCCATTCCGTTATAGAGAGAGTCGACTGTAGATCTCAGTCCGTCTCAGTTCGTCTGTGAGCGCTCTTTGAGTATTTTAGAAAAACTCTGAAACACGTGGCTAATGAAATTTCATGTAGTTGTGTCGCTAAAAAATTTGCAAAAAGTGAGAGTAGGTGGTCATTGGGGGTCGAAGCCGGGTCGTGTGAGGGATGAGGCGAGCTCGCTATCCACTGCACCATCAGTGCCAATTTGCATTTTACGTTGAAATTTGCATGGCGCGGTTTTCTAACACAAGGAATTCATTTCTGACAATCATTTTTACAATTTCTGAAGCAGCTGTTCTGCTGGTCATTATTGAGAAGTTAAAAATTATCCAGCTCCTTTTCCAGCTCCTTTTCCAGCTCCTTTTCCAGCTCCTTACAACTCCTTTTCCAGCTCCTTACAACTCCTTTTCCAGCTCCTTTTCTAGCTCCTTTTCTAGCTCCTTTTCTAGCTCCTTTTCTAGCTCCTTCCAGCTCCTTTTCCAGCTCCTTACAACTCCTTTTCCAGCTCCTTACAACTCCTTTTCCAGCTCCTTTTCTAGCTTCTTTTCTAGCTCCTTTTCCAGCTCCTTACAACTCCTTTTCCAGCTCCTTTTCCAGCAGATGGCTTCCTCATCGTCACCCCCACCACAGCCGCCAAACGTTCTTTTGTTGGGAAGAATGGGGCTTTCCCATGAAACCGTTTTTGGATCAATAAAGGTTTGAAAAAGATACGAATCACAATCAGGAATTACAATTACAATCAAAATTTAATTTAATCTTATCAACTATCAATCTAGGGGTGACTATTTTACGCCAAAATTTTTCGCACAACTGTATCGTTTTGCGCAACTTGTCATAACTTTCTTCTAAGTAAACCAATCTTTATGATTTTTATTTCATTTTGTAGATCTCAATAAGTTCAACAAAATGAAACCAATATCATAAAGATTGATCAATTTAGAAGAAAGTTATGACGAGATGCGCAAAGTGATCCAGTTGCGCAAAAGATTTGGCGTAAAATAGACCTTTAACCTTCAATCTTTGTCTACTTTTTTTGGTTTAAACATTTTCTAGAATTATTTATTGTTTTTCTAGAAAGGTCGCAAAGAAATGCGCAAAACGATTCTCCTGCTTGGCGCAAAAAATAGCGGAAAAACGGCTCTCGTGAACAGTGTGACGAATTATTTGTACAAGATTGGACAAGACTCAAAATATCGATTGCATATTGTGGGAAAAGAGAAGACAAGTCGAGGTTTGAAACTTTCAATTTGAAAAAAAGGAAACGGAAGGAACGGAAAGAAATTCGTTTGCTAAATCTAAACTTTTGACGTTTCTGTTGACGAAATCATTAGCAAACTGAAGGAAATTATTGGGTTGGTGAATTGAAAAATGCGGGCTATTGTCATATGTGACAGTTTGAGCACTTTCTTCAAAAGAAACCCATTTTGGTGTCAATGGAAAAGTTGTAGAGAATTCATGCAAGATTTTAATTTTCGCGCAACG